CACACCACAAGCCTTTTCAGCTTTCATCTGTGGTCATCCTCTGCCATAGTCCCTGTGGCTTATTTCTACATGAACATCCTCTTGATGGTAGATGCATCCCAGCAGCAAGTGGAAGGAGGGAGGCCTCAATATCTGTGCTTCCCACCTTACCATAATCATGATTTCTGGTGACACTGTGGTTTTATGCGATTCCGTCCCAGAGAGAGTATCTGGAGATCAACAAGAGCCCTTCAGTGCTGAGCAGTGCTTAACCCACTTTATTTATTCTCTGAGCAATGATATGGGGTTGTGGGCTCTCAGGGACATGTGGATCAGGGTTTGAGCAGTTTTAGAAAAGAGGATGAGGACAATTCTGAGGAGCATATTGTCTTCTCTCAGAGACCACTAAGGAGGGGCTAGTCCAGCCTCTTCATCATCATCTTACAAATTCCCAGTAACAAAAAGGGCATTTGCCTTATTAAAAGAGTGAGCTACGTAAGGGATCCTGAAGTCTATAATGGAGAGAAGACTGAGTTTGGAGATGTAGACCTGTAGGCTGGCTTTGGTTCTGACTTGATCTCTGTGGTTATACCTGGGTAACCTTGTCACCAGCCTCTCTGGTGCTCAGTACTCTCATCTGAAGTGTGACAGTTTGGTGGGTGATCTCTCTAAGACCCAACCACACTGAATTGTGTAAGGATTGCTGAAGGGTATGCAGCCTGTGTCCTATTCAAAGTTCTAACACGTTTGACCCCCTTTTCTCAGGGATCCTAAATAGAGGTCTAATATCAGCTTGGCCCAGAGTCCTTCCTGGACCCATCTGCATGGACCCTTTTTTTTCCTATCTTCTCCAAAACTCTTTCTAGAAATAGACTTCATTATTCTCCAATCCACTCATATCCTATAATCCACTGTTTTTCCTCAGTTGACATTTCAAATTATTTGGTGAACATTTGTGTCTGTATTATTAGTAATATGGCTTCCTGTAATAAAAGATGTTCATAATATCCAACATGCTCACATTCTTATATGAGACATAGCCCTGTTCTCTCCCCATCGATGACTGACCCATAAATGGAGGTACTACCTATTGTCTGACCATTGATCTTTGACCTGTGTGGCTTGGCAGGAACAGATAAACTGTGTAAACACATGTTTCTTTCTGAGAATCTGAACTACAGATGCAGGGTCTGTAGCAAACTATGGTGTCACTTCCTCTGGAAGCTCAAGTAGACTTAGTGTTTAGAGTGGCTATTTCAGAGGCATGTCCAAAGTGATGAGTAATTAGAGAAAGCCAGTCGGCCCCTCAAAGAGAACTGGTGTGTAGAGAAAGACAGTGACAAGATTTATGAAAGCTCACTGAGCTGGAGAGACGCAGAGAAGGGCCCTCCTCTCCAGTGACCTCCCAGGCCAGGCAGCTGGCAGTGTTTTATTTCCTAGCTCTGCATTGGAGGAGGTCTGCCTATTCCCATAAATCAAATCCTTTTCATTAAGGCATCTTGAGAAGGTTTTTGTTTTTCACAAGCAAAAAAACAGCCAGACTACAAAGCTGTGTCTCCTTTTCTTCCTCCAAGGAACCAGAAGGATATCTATTTTTAATTAAACCCTTAGTCTGAATTCTTGATGCTAAGACTCTGCCTGGCCCCACATAAGCCCATGGTTCAGGTCAGTGCACACCAAACTCGTCAATGTCATCAGAAGGTCTGATGCCAGCGCTTCCTTGTCCCCTGGCCCTCTAACATTGCAGCATGCATTTTGCCTGAACTAACACCCTGTGCTCGGCACAGAACTAGCCAGAAACACCCTTACATACCTAGGGAAACTGTTGAGTGCTGTGAAAATAAACAAAGAACATTCAAACGAGAACAGAGGCTATTTAGTCAGAACTGACTGCAGCTGCCATCACCTACGTTTGGCAGAGACCACAGGCAGGCAGGGAATGAGAAAGCTCCGCAGTGCAGGAGGGCTCAGTGTGCTAGTGTGCTCTGCTTGGAGGTTTGGGGTGTGGGGAAGCCGGGGGTGAGCTAACTAAAAGTGGGGCATCATTTGTGATTGGTTTGGGAGCACACTGGGCTTTTTTAGAACAGCCCTGAGTTGAAAAGAAGTAGGTGAGGGAAGAGAGGGGCAAAAATTAAGAAGTGGGCAGTCCTGAGCGCATTTTGACCATTCTGGACTGCTTTGCGGAGAGGGTGTAGTTGGCTTCACTGTCTGGTTGCTTCAGAGTTTGCACGTCAGAGCTCTGTTGTCACATATGGTCTGACCATTGCCCATTTGTGAATTCAGTCTCTCAATTCTTATAACATTGGAAGTTCTTAAGACATTTAAAAATTTAAGCTGATGAACAATCCTTCCAAAAGCCGACAACCAGATCCCAGGGGCAACAGAGGATGAAAAGTAAGCAGAATTTAGTTTGGGGGTTGCGGGCCAGGAGTGGGGTCCACAGGACATCTTAGAATCTCAGTATCTTTTTATAAATGAACAACAAATTAATCTGAAAAGTTTAGAAAAGATGTGATTTCAGAATTTAAAAGTAATGAAAATGTTATTCAATTCATTATAGCCCAGAGATACTTTGTCATGGCCTACCTGTATTCTGCAGACTCATGTTAAAAAATCACTTCTGAAATACATGGTTTTGAAGTTTTATTTGAACATTTTTCTCTTTCCTTGAAAATTTTCAGAAGTATGTGATGTTCATTTTTTGTGTTAGTTACCTCATAATATGCCGAAAGCTCATAAATCTTCTGTTGGGAATTGCAAACCCTCCCCCAAATCCTGTTCTCTGACACATTAGCTGTCAGGTGGTTAGCCTCATGCTCTTTCTTGTCCAAAGTCAGACTCTGCAAACTGAGGAGATAAAAGTATTATCTGCAATCCACAGTCTGTCAGAGTCCTCTTTGGTAACTAGCAAGGCCCTGGCCTCTTCTGATTGTATCACTGTCCTCATATGTATCACAAAAATGAGGTCATCAAATTATAATAAACTCCACATCAGGGTTCAGAATACATTGAGGAGGGAGCACCTAACTAGCAAGCCATGTCTGCAGAGGACTCCTCTTAACCCTTTACAGAGAGTAACCCACCCCGGGAATGGGGTCTCATCTTCCTGGCTTGGGAAAGGGGTCTGGGCATCTCTAGGTGTCAATGAATCTACCTTAGTGTTATCTTGGAAGGTCTTATTCTTGCAAAAGTATTGGACAGGGGTTGCCATCTTTGTCTTTACCTTACTATATACTCCTTTTCACTAGGGTTGAGGAGCAAAGGTTTCTCTAGCTGAATGAATGCTATTACAAATAACCAGCACCAGCGAGTGAAGAGATGGTTTTGTCCTGTGATGTTTCATTTGGATGAGGTTGGGACTAACCTTCAAAATTTCGAGTGTTTCATTTGTTTCTGCAAGATGGACCAGGGACACCGTGGGGAGAGGGTAGAGAAAGGAGACCAGCGAGAAAGGACATTCTAGACCTTATCGAAGGAGGACTTTTAAATTGAAAGGTGACATGAGGAGGAAAGTGATGTTTGGCAGTGTTCACTGTGTTTGTTATCAGCTGATAGGATTATTTTCTATCTGATTGTGAACTGTACCTGCAGTTGTGGTCTTAGAGTGTGGTATGTCAGAGTGGAAAGAGGCATTCCTCAAGATTCCACTACCCTTTTGGCAATGAAACCAGACATTTTTAGCACACATATTTTGGTGTCTATCCTGAGAAAGTTAAATTTAGCATATTTCCTGCTAGTCACTGAACCGCAGGACCTCCCAGGTCTGGGATTAGTTACAGCCCTTTATGCCTGTCTGTGGAATCTCTCCTTGGAATATGAGAGGCCTTTGAAGAGCTTGAACTGTCACTATAAATCCTCTAACCCACCAGGAGTGGTGCTGATTGAGCAATCTATGATCAAGATTTCTTAGTCCTGGTCCTGGAAATGCTCCCGTCAGATGGGGTGCGTGTGCACACATGTGAACACATGTGTCTGTGTGTGCAGGACTGGTGCAAACACTCAGGGTCACCTTCTACTTGTATCCGTGCCTGGGGACTGTCTTCCCATTGTATCGGGTTTGGGAAAATCAGATCAGCATGTTGTGCTACTTCCCAAAGAGATGTGGTTCTGGAACAAATGGTGAACTTTCAAGATCATTCGTTCTACTCCCCCACATGGCTTTCTGGGTCAAATTCAAGGCACAGGGGCTCTCAGACCAGTGCCTGCAGACAGGGGCATCAAACTCTCCTAGGGAATGTGTTTACATGCAGATATCATGGGCAGACTCCATCCAGATTTATTGAATCAGACTCAGGGAGATATGGCCCAGGAATCTCTATGCCCCCAGGTTGTTCTGTTATCTGAACAGGACTGGTGACCAGCGCCTCACTTGGCCCCTTCTCGAAGGGGGTGGTAGCATCACTCAGTGTTGACATCAAGTTCTTTTAATTTGACTTGCTAACAATTCTTGCCTCATTCTCCTCTGTGTCCACCAGCCACTAGTTAAGTGCCAGCTTCCAGTATCTCTGTCTGGACCATGGCAGTAGCCTCAAAGCTCCCTCAGGACCCACCCCCAACATTCTCTACTCCACAGGGCCGTTGCTTCAAATCTCAGATCTGATTCTTTTTTTTTTTTTTTAATAGAGGCATGTTTTATTTATTTATTTATTTGTTTGTTTTTTGTTTATACATGCACTGGGTACAGTCAGAAGCGCGGGAGGGTGAGAGAATTCACCAGAGCCAGAGTCAGGAGCAGAGCAGGCAGAAGGACCGAAGTACACTGCTGAGGGGAGCAGCGGGCGGCAGGAGAGGTCTGCGCGCCATGTGGGACCCTCCTCTGGTGGCCGGGGAGCAGCCGGGGATCGAACTGGCGCCGCAGAGGCCACGGGCAGCTCCGCAACCCAGCGCTCAACCGCTGCGCCACCGGGGAGGCCCTCAGATCTGATTCTATCATACTCCCCACCCAACTTTGACCCTCACTCCAATTATTTCTTCCCATGGCTTTTAGGATGAGCACATTCTTATCTTGGCTAGAGGGTCTCCAGCCTCCACAGCCTCATCTCACGGCCACCAATTCTGCTAACAGGGCTCATTCTTTTTTTTTTTTTTTCCATTCTTTTTTTTAGGAGTATTAATGATTTTATTTTTTATTTTATATACTTTTTGCCTCATTCTTCATTTTTGTACAATGTATGCTTTATCCTCTCAGGTGTAGTCCCGGTGAAATTTCCACCACCAATTCACCCGTGCACCGTCACCATAGTCCCTTGTGCTCTTTCCACTCAACAGGGCTCATTCTTGGTGTTCTTCCCATAGACATTCCTGCTGTCTCCCCAACCTGTCCTTCCTTCAGGCTCAGTGGTCTTCACTTCTAAGGGAGACTTCCAGCCTCTTGGGACAGCCCTTTTCTGGTGCAAATTTATATAATTTGATTAAGCATGTCTCTCCATGTAGAGTGCAACTTCCCAGCAAGGCAGGGCCATGTCTCTTCACTTTTGTAGCTCCAACACTTGGCAGGTAAGCTCGAAGTACCTGTCCTCTCCTCTGTATGGCAATCAGGCTAGCATAAGCAGAGAGATTTGTAATTATACCCAGGAGTTTCATAGTTTCATTGATTGATTCATAAGTAGTAGTATGTGTCATTTAGAGCTCTGGAATTCTAGGCCTAGCTGGAGTCAGCCAGCAAACAGGCACTGCTGGTAATGACATGCTTCTTGAGCACTTTGCATTTCACACTTCTCTTGGCTCAATTAAAACAAAATTTTATTAAACATGAAGTAGCTCTCGGACATGCCACTTGCCCTTACATAATTATGGTTTGAGGAGGAGACAGATATTAAACAAGTGACTGTAAATTTATGTTTTATGAAAGGGGCAGTTGAGTGTGCCATGGAAGCACAGAAGAAGGGATACAAGGCTAGTCTGGGGATCTGTGGCAGGTTTCCCTGAATAAGAAATATTTGTGAGCCAGAGGGGGAGTCTGAGTTAGGAAAACTGGCTATAGGAAATGCTGTGTGCAGGCCCACTTGTAGTGCATTTGGGACAACAGTTGATGGACACTAGGATGCTCGCTTCGGCAGCACATATACTAAAATTGGAATGATGGATAGTAGGGAGTGCCCAGTTCCACTTAATTATTCTTACTGCAGGGGCATGGCTGTGTACACTTCTCATTCATCCTGAGGGGTTGGCTGGGCAGGCCTGTGCTGCTGATCTGGAGTCTGGGCTTGGTCTAGAGGGTGAACGCTGTGCTCAATGAGAGAGGGAGTGTTATGGGAATGGTGGCTCTCAGATCCCCTTTGGCTAAGTCAGACATCACAGGGGCTGCTGTGAATTCGGCACCACTCCCAGCACTTGTTGGAGAAATATTGAACATTATCACCACCCGCAGTTTTTACTCATTTCTTTATTAATATAGAAAAGGAGCCCAAGGCAGCTGGACCAGTAGTACAAAGCACCAGGAGTTAATACTATTCTGGTGGAAGGGTTGGCTTACAAAAGTGGAGGAGCAGACAGGAGCTGCCTAGTCCTGGGGTCAGGCCCAGCCTGCCATCCAGACCTCGGAGCAGCCCCTGGAACCGGCCTAAGAGGCCGACAGGTGGCCCAGGGGTGGGATGAGCTGGAGACCATGGGGACAAGGTGCTGGAGGGCCAGGCAGTGAGAGCCATCCTGTGGTTGATGAAGACAGGGAACTGCTGATTTGAGGCTCCCCACAGGACCACGGACAGGTGCTCACCATAGGCCTCAGCTCTGGGGGCAGGTGGAAAAACCCTGTGGAGACTAGTGAGCTCAGGGAATCCAAACACAGTCCTGTGGTTGAAGGCCTTTTCCTTCTCTCTCCACCAGGGGCCACCTCTGCTCTATACTACAGGTGGGGCTTGGGGCCCAAGGCACAGAGGGAAGCCCAGAGGGCTCCCAGTGGGGAATGAGATGGGGCAGGACAGAAGCACTTGGGTATCCCCAGCTTAGGCAGCTAGGGATGAGACACAGGGCAGAACAAAAGCACCCCTGCCTAGAGGGACTGGAATGTGGGGCAGGGGGCTTATCCTCAGCCAGTGACCAGGACCAGCCCCATGGCAATGGTGCCTGCCTTAGCCAGTGGGGTCTGCAACTAGCACTGGGTGTTGGCAGACCTGGTTTAGCCTTAACTCTCCGGGAACAGAGCTGTGTCACCATGGGCCAGCCATGTCCTGCCCTGACCTGTTCCTCAACAGTCAATGAGGGCCTTGGATATAACCTCTCAGGCCATGGAAGGGGTTCTGCAGGTCAAGGCAGCTCCAGGCTTGCTCTTTATAGTTCACTGGATGGAACTGGGATGGGATGGGATGAGGGCTAGAGGGTGATGGAGAAGGAAGATGTTCTTGCAAGGAACCTACCCCCACACACTTTCCAGAGCTGGGAAAGGCTGATGGGGGTCTCTCCTCTGTACAAGGGAAAAGGCCCTCCCACTGGCATAGGGAGGGAATGTGGCTCAGTGCAATCCCTTCACAATCACCATCTGGGGACACTTGGCATGGAGAGAATGTGGTGGCATTACGCAACCCTTTATGTTCTTCCCCAGGGTGGGGAGCTCAAGGCTTCTTGTGGCTTCTGCCTCTGTCCCTTAGCATGGGCTCAGGAATATTCTTTTTCACTGTGGTCCTGCCCTGGGGATGGCCCGAGACGCTGCCTGGCTGGCACATGTTAGTTGGTGAGGAAAGGACAGAGGGGTGAGTAAGCAGACAGGAAGGTGAGAGCAACTCTCTGGCTTTCTCCTCTTCCGCTGGAGAGAGCAGCTCAATCAACTGAGTCGCATATCTCTTCCACCACAGCATTGAAGATGTGCGGCTGGTCTGCATAGACGTGGTGCGATGCACCCTCGATCTCCTGTGGAGAGAGCCACCGGCCCGGTGGGCTGCCCTTTATTCCTGGTACTGGAAATGTTCCCTCTCCCCTTAGACCTACTCGCCTGTCACCCTGAGTATCTATCAGAAAAAATGGTGCACCTTTCTCCCTGGATTTTGGCACTTTCCTCAGATATCCCATTCTGCTTCTCCTGGGGCCATTCACTGTGTCTTTCCTTCCACGCTCGCCCCACCACTGACCTACTCATTTCATGCACAGGTCCAGTAGACGGGGAGCCATGGATGGCCCCCATATCAATCAACACAGTCACTAGCAAATAAGAGTGTACGGGGGAATAAAAGATAAAGAGAAGGCAGGAATGTGGTAGGCTTCATGGAAGCCTCTACTCTTTGCTCCACTGTTCGAGGCTCTGGTTTAGGGTGGGAATGACAGGGGATCTGCAGAAGTGGCATGATGTCCCTGGGGACTGCCTTATAGTTGAACTGGGCTACACAGAAATAAGAAACCCCTCATTAGGATATTACAGAGCCAACCCTTTCAAATCCACTGCCCCGCCTCTGGCCATTCCTCTGCCCTCCACTTATTGATGACCCCTCTCTACCCCAAGGCCCATGACAGCTGAGAGTCAATCATACTCTCTGGCAGCATGCACAGTGCTTCACCTCAACCCTGAGCCTTGGCTGGCCGACGTACCATGTCTCGGACATAGGAATCTGGCCGCTGCATCTTCACTTTTTTCCCCGTGCTTGTATCTATCCAGGTGTTGGCCCCGTAGATCATGGTGATGGGCACATCTTTTCGAATCAAGTGAATTCGTTCCAACATGGGGCGCCGGGCCCAACCGAAGGACTCCATCATGGCTTTGAATGCCGTCTCTCCACTGCAGAAGCAACACAGGGAGAGGTGATTAATGGAATAAACCCTGCAGCATAGAATGTCAACTTGTTGGTCTCCTCGGAGGCCTGGGCACCCTCTGCATCCCCTTTATGTCAGTGTCTGTCCCAGCACTGGGCTTATTAAATATTGGCATGATGACCTGAATATCACAGATCTCCTATCACAGAAACAGGAAGGGACGCACTTGGGAAAAATCCCATGGCTTTGAGAATTGTCAATGGGTTATTATTTATTCTATGTGTCATGCCCTGGGCTGAGCATGGGGACTTATGAACAAGACAGATTCAATGCCTGCTCTCTTGGAGCTTACAATTTATCTTGTTTTAGGGAGGTGGGCATTAAATAAACACATGATTAATTATTTAACTTAAAATTTCCCCAGAATTTTGAAAGGGTGGTGCAGTGCTATGAGAAGACAAATGAGAGGCATAGCCTGCTGGGGATGGGGGGAAGGGGGAGCTCATCTGAGGGGGACTCTGAAGAGTGAACACCATAGTAGCTAAAAAGGGCTTCCTTAGAAAACTCTGAAATGAAACAACAGTCTTGCAAGAACTCAGAAAGAGCAGCAATTTGTGCTTTGTAGGAAGCAGTGGTTGTCGATCTAATCGGCTTTGCTCCCTGGGCATCCTTCAGTGGAACTAATAGGCCGTGTCATGGGGCTTTCTGGACTAGTCTGAAGATTTTGTGCGAGGCGGGGGAGGTGGGGAGACTGCCGCCTGCCAGGCTACGATTCCTCAGGTATCATGTCCCCAGTCTTCTTTGAACCGTAAGGGGACAGAAGCCTGAGCTGTGCACGGGCCACTAGAAACAATTTTTCCTAAAGACAATGCAGCATGGTGGAAAACCAGGGATTCTGGATTCAGAAAGACATGAACTCAAATCTTGGCTGTGTTTTCTCAGCAAGTCATGTAACCAGAATATTCTCATCTACAAAATGGAGAGAATTATACCCGATTTATTATAGGTCATTGTGAAAACGAAAGTAAGTACAAAGTGAGTCCCTCTGCCCTCCCCATATTTTTCCTTTGGTCAAATTTCAAGTTTTCCAAGGGAATGTTAAGAGTTACTGCAAGTCTGTCAGAGTGTCCACTCAGAAACATTCAGGGGGGTATAAAATTGAGTGAAGAGGGAAGCGGGCAGGGAAGTGTGTAAATTGGGTGAAAGAGGTCAATTGTGGATGGAAACCAGAATTTTGGTGGAGAACTTAATGTAACACAGATGTTGCTTCCTGAGGCTATATACCTGAAGCCTAAATAATGTTATAAACCAATGTTACCTCAACTGAAATAAGGTTGAGTGATGGTGTTGTGGGAGGGAATTGGTTCCCACTGATGTCATCTCGGCTTCCTCTGGGACACAAATGAGTTGCAAGATTATGTATTCTGTGGCTCAGCCTGGGAGGCCAGTCATTACACAGAATGAGGTCTGAGTCTGGGGAAAAGGCTCGAGGCCTCAATGGGCATGAAGCTGGCACTGAGCCCAGTGTGGGGCTGAGAGAGGGGTGGTAGAGAGGAAACAGGGGGCTCCCTGATGTGACTGTTGAGCTGAGTTTCTATACTACTGCTTGCCCAGGGCCCTTCAATGAGCTGAGCACATATGGCGTGTTGCAGGCAGTTCCCACGCTGCCCCGCAGCCATGTGGGGTGAGGCTAACGCTCGGCCAGGACTGGACTGCTGATCTCACTTCTGCTCAGCTCTGGATTCACAGTGGGTGACCTGGATAGGCCTGGAATGAGATGAGGCAGTTCTGCTGCTTCCATTGACCTTGGCTCCCTGAGATGCCTCACGGCAGTTCTGGTTGAGGCCTCCACAGAGGCGGTGCTGTTGCTGCCAATGCAGCCTCAGGCCTCCTGGTATCAGCCACTCGCAGAGCACTGCCTGAGAGGAAGATTACCTCCCTGCCTCTGCCTAGCTGTCAGCTGCCAAGACTGCAATTCAGCAGGCTTGTGGGATCTGCTGTGTGAACAGTCAGATATGAACTTCTTCCCTTGCTTGCTTTTGTGAAAGCACTATCACTTGTTCAGTTAATAAAAAAAAAAAAAAAAAAAAAAAAGATCTTTTATAACGTTTATATCTTTTACACCATTTTCCAGACTCTGGCCTGTTAGGCTAACTGCCTATCTCTAGGGAAGAATAAGGGTCTTTCTCCAGAGACCGAGCATGTTCAATTAATCTATTATCTCTAGCCCTTTGTGCCTATCCCTGGGGGAACACTTTGGAAATGCTCAAGCCTGCTAAGGCGACCTTCCCCTAATGGGAAGAGAGCTTTGTGCTAGAAGTAGTATAACACAGAATGATTCTGGGGTGTTCTGGAGTTTTCTAGCAGCTGGGGTTTTATCTCCCAACCCATGCACCCTGTGCTGGCTCTGGGAGCCACCCTCACCTGGGATTCTGAGCATTGCAGTGGTAGATATATTCCGATATAGTATCATCTTCAAAGAAGTCTGCAAACTTGCGCTTGAAGTCTGGCCGGAATCGCTGCACCAGGCCAGGCCCTGGGAGAGGGACAGAAAAAAGTAGAGTAGTCAGTGGGATGGAGGAAGGGGGGCTGGATATGTTTTAACAACTTTGACAAAACATTATATCTCCTGCTAGGAGAAATTTCCTATTTCTCTACACAACAAGGGTTTGTTTGCCTTGTACATTTAACATTTGAGGAGCAGGAAGAACGAGAATCTCCTGGGGTGACTACAAATGAGGGTTTGTTGGTTCCTAAAGAATTTATTAAAGAATTTAGACAGTCTGGGCCTCCCCGGTGGCGCAGCGGTTGAGCGCTGGGTTGCGAAGCTGCGCGCGGCCTCTGCGGTGCCGGTTCGATCCCCGGCTGCTCCCCGGCCACCGGAGGAGGGTCCCACATGGCGCGCAGACCTCTCCTGCCGCCCGCTGCTCCCCTCAGCAGTGTCCTTCGGTCCTTCTGCCTGCTCTGCTCCCCGCTCTGGCTCTGGTGAATTCTCTCGCCCTCCCGCGCTTCTGACTGTACCCAGTGCATGTATAAACAAAACAAACAAACAAACCAGCAAACAAATAAATAAAGCATGCCTCTATAAAAAAAAAAAAAAAAAAAAGAATTTAGACAGTCTGATGTCACCGAAGAATCAGAGTTTCAGCTCAGTGAAGCCCCAAGATCTTTTTCCTACAAGGATCACAAGCCCCACTAAAGTTCATGGTTGAGATACTCTTCTCTCATGGTGTGAGCTATGTTTTCTTTCTTGCTGAGTTCCCTGTGGCCTGTTAATCTTGTCATGGCAGTGCATGAAACAAGATAACCTCCCAAGAGCCCTCTCATGTTCTGGGCTGTCATAGAATACGAGGGGTGCAGAGGGCAGCGTGACACTGGCATCTCAGACTCAGGGCAGTTTCAATGCCATCTGTTCTCTTCACCTTCCTTTATGGCACACACACAAGCAGTAGGGTGCCCAAAACAGACCATAAAAGTTGAGCCTAAAGGTCAACTTCTATGTCTCTCTCCCTCTTCTGATCTCATCTCTGTGTGTGAGAAGCAAGGGGTGCGAGGCAGGCGAGACCTGGCTGAGGAGGCAGAGCCAGGATCCCCTCCTCCATGGCTGCCAGCCAAAGCCCCGACTACATTGGCTACAATGCCTATGCGGGCCTGGCCAGACACCAAGTCCAGAAAAAAGGGAGGTTGGTTAGAGCAGGGTTTCTCCCTGGAAAAGGAGTCTGCTGAGTCCACAGTGCTGGGAACTGGAAGGTCAGCCCTCTGCTCTTCAGTTCCTGTATCTGGCCATCCGTCCTTTCTCCCCAAACTTCTATCTTCTATTCAAATGCTCATTTTTCTCTTTTATCCAGAGACATTTGGTTTCTCTCTAAGACCCGGAGAGACAATTCTTATTTAGCAATTAACATATAATAATTGGCTAGTGAGCACCAGTACAAGATAGGGAGTCACAAATCTTTTCCATAAAGGGGATCTGCTTTTCACTTCATTAGAGTGAAACGTCCCCCACCCCGCCCCCCGCCACATACACACACAAAGAAAGGGTACTGGTAGCGTGAGGTCAGAAAGCTGGGACCTGCTGCTATTCTGGCTGGCTTCCCTCAGCCTCCTTCCCTCCCTGCACCCACAGAATTTCCTGACAGCTACTAAGTGGTGAGGATGTGGTACAGATAAGGACTGAAAAAGGCATGGCTCAGATGGTGCTGCCTGCCACAGTGGGTTCTGTTGGAGGCTCTGGTTCTGCCATTTCTCTGGCAGGTGCTGGGTGAGCTGCAGATGAGATCTAGCGGTGGTGGCCATACTGAGTCACCAACAGGTCGCCATAAACTCACACATGCAGCATAAGAATTCAACAGGGAAAGAATCACTCAAGGCTCCCTTCTCTCTCTCTGGGGGTCTAGCCAAGGCACAGCATAGTAGTTCTGCTCCAGCTGTCCCTTGTATAGGAAAGCTTTCTCCCTGCAGACGAAGGAAACAAAGAACCTTCTGAAGCAGACAAGGAAGTCTGGTCCAGATTAAATAACACTAGGTCCTTTCCCATTTCTCATGAACATCCGGGGCTGGAGGGAGTCCAGATGCAGGGGTGCTTCTAGAATGGGACAGCCTTGGCTTAAGAGATCATTTGTTCATCTGCAGGTTACTCACCCCAGGGTCCAGCTACTCGAAGAACAGCCAGTGGATTGGAACGCCCTAATACAGAGGCCACAGCCTTGACCCAGGTTGGGGGTGCACGGATCTCACTGGGGTCAGTGGGTCGGAGGGGGAAGCCCCACGGGTCCACCAGGATGAGGTGCTTAACTCTAAAGGAGGAAAAAAGATAATATAAATTGTATTTGCATGGAGGACCGTAGCCTTTAAATCATTTAGAAAGAACTATCAGAAATAAATAACTGGAATGATCCCAGCAAGACAAGGAATTAGGGCAAAATCAAGACAGTGGCACCTTCTTACCTTTCAGGGTACTTGATGGAGTAAGAAGTTGCCAGGAATCCTCCCAAACTGTGCCCCAGGAGGATCATACTTGGGATGCCCATGGTCTCACGCCATGTCTCTATTGAGGTCACAAACTCATCCTCAGCCCCCTCTGGGTCCCTCGGGAATGTTGGCCTTGAGCTGCGCCCAAAGCCAAGCAGATCGAAGGTGTGCAGTGTGCGGCGGGCGCTCAGTGAATCCATGTTGAGGATCCAGAGGCCCACGCCACCCCCGAAGCCATGCACCATCACCAGGGGGGTACGGTCCCTTAGCTCGGGGCTCATGGTCACCGTCCAGATCTTGTTCTGGTTTGGGAGGGACACATATCGGGCCAGAAACTTGTTCTGGAGACCTAGAAAAAGGGGAATACCGTGGCAGATCAATTAAGACTGCTTTCTGACAGTGTCACCATTTGGCTTGGATTCTTCAGCTCACTCTCATTCCCAAACCCTTCCTGACCTCCCTCACCTCTTCCCTTTCACAACCCTCTGACCATACCACCTAAGGATTCAACCTGTAAACTATCTAGACTGGAGGTAATTAGGGCCATCTTATTCCTTGACGCTGTTTGCTGGGTTCCCTCAGGCTGGCAGTGACCCCAGAGCACCCATGTCCACAGCTCTTATACCTATATGTGCTTGGGGCTTGACAGATGGACATAATTCTCCTTGCTGGGAAGGTAGTTTCTGCCTCAAGTCAAGACAGGTGGAGGGGTGATGGTTGTGGACTGAGCCATGTTCATACTGGGGATTCCCATGATTTCCTGCCATATCTCTATTGAAGCCACAGACTCATCCTTGGCCCCCTCTGGGCCCTCAGGAATGTTTTAGAGACACAGTGAGGTGGGCAGTGCTTGCTCTTTGGGCATGAAAGCAGTTTCTCAAAGTTTCGGGATCTGGAAGGAACTGACATGGTGGACAAGAAGGAAGATGCTGCCTGGGGAAAGTTGCCTGGACGCTGGACAGAGGCTTGAAAGCTGTGCTGTTCTGCGGCTGCACTGACTCAGGCCCATAGAGAGAGGGTAGCCATGGCTGGGGCAGTGGACACAGGGGAGGGAAGATCATATGGAAAACACAGGGAGACGTGGCCCAAGGGTGGTGGTGGAGCCCATGGCCGCTGCTGCTTGGGGACGCCCTATCTCAACATAACTGTCCATGAGAGCCTATCTATGGGATCCCACAGTACTGGGGTAACCAGGTAACGGTGGGGCCTAACCGGGTAGCATAAGGAATAGTAATATGAGGAATCTGGGACTGCTGGTCCTTGAGTAGGAAGGTGGCAAATCTTGTGTGTGTGGAAGAAAAGAGGGAGAGGAACAGGGGGAGAAGTATTTTTGTGTGTTATGTGTGGATAGTTCTCAGCACAGAGGCTGTGGTGAAGTTATAGGATCTGGAAGGAACTGACATGGTACACAAGGAGGAAGACACTGAGGACTCACTATCACAGAACATGGTGTCCTCAGGGCAAATCTCTTTCCTAAATCACTGACGTCTCTAGCTGCCACCCCGAGCACTGTTAATCAGGAATAGGTGGACTCAGTGTACCGGACTCTGGGAAGATCCTGCGTCCTCCATGGGCCTTTTATGGGAGGTGGACACGCTGTCCCTTCCACTTACACTGGAGGATCCTGGACTCCACATTCTTCAGATGAGACATGGAAGTAGGGCGCCAAGCTGGCAGCCAGCTACTCAGCCAGCCTTGAGGCCTGGGACAGAGAGGAGACAATCATTGGCAACAAGGGACACACTGACACTCTCGGTCTCGCACACAGTTACAAAAGCGTTATCAGTGCAGGGTGCTCAGGGGACCCTCGTAGTCAGCGAGTCCTCCGCTATTCTGCATGACACTGTTACTCTTTTCTGGAATATGGCTGTTAACAACAAAATGCCCTTTGTTTCAACAGATGCTCAGAACACCACCACGGGTACTGCATTTACAGTTCACAAGGCTCTTTCACATTCATTATCTTTTTGGAGCTTTCCCACTCCCCTTTGCTGCTAGTTATCATAATGTTCAAGGACATCAAGAGGAGGGGAAAAAGCTAACTCTCAACTAATGTTTCAGCTACCTTTTGCCATCCCCAGGACTGGCTGTTCTTTTAGGGTAAAACAGACAAATTCCTATGCCACCTGCCCTTCTGGCAGGACTCTGGGGTTTGTGTGCGTTCTCTTCCCAGTCCCTGGAAATACAGAGCACTGTGCCAGTGCCCAGCTGGAGTCCCAGGGAATCAATGAATTCAGCCTCAAACCACACAGGACAGGCAAGGAGCAGGAGTGGGGAGATCTGGGTTCAAGTCCTCCTGTGATTCACTAACAGAAGATGGGCTCCTCTGCTCTTGCTTTCCAGATTATAAAGTGAATAGAAAGCTCATGTATGTCCTCCCTTCTGGGGGCAGGCAGTAAAACAGATAAGTTATCCTGCTTTCTTTCCCCTTCATATTCAAGAGACGAAGTCCTTGCAGAGTAGAGTTTGAAAGCACCAGCTTTGGAATAAAGCAAAACAAAACCTGAGTCATAGTATTGTCATTTATGAGTTGAATTGCTGTGGCCTGTTACATAACCTGCCTTAAGGCATCCAGATAGTAAAGGACTTGGTAAGAGATCTATGAATGAGTTTTTCTCATTCCTTTCCCACCCCATATAGTATTTCTCTTTTCTTGAAGTCTATCTGGGTGAAGAGGGTTACTGGAAGGGACTGTCAACACTGGCATAGTCAAGCAGGAGCATTCTATGGGTGAACAAGCGGACCCAACCCCTTTGGCACACACTGGTTATCCTGATATATCATTTGAAGCACAGAATTTAGATTAGGATAGTTCCTTAGAAATCATCTAGTTCAGCCTCTTTATTTTACAGCTGAGCACACTGATGCCCAATGAGGTTAGACAGCTAGTTAGAAAAAGAACTGCAACTCGGACCTGGATCTCAAATCCAGATTTCTTCATCTTCCTAGATGTTCCAACCTCAGCTTTTCAAGGTCCTATAAGAATACATAGTATATAACCACATTTCCATATTTGTCTCCCTTTTCTGAAAAGTGTGACCTAAAGTCAGAAGGTCAGAGTTCTAATCCTGGCACTGCCACTTAGCACCAATGTAACTTTGGGCACATTACCTAGCCTTCCTTGTCTTCCTTACCTTTTAATAACAGTGTCTATATCATAGGGCTGTTAACAAGATTTAATGAGCTAATGCATCCAAAACACATAAAATTATGCCTAGTATAAGATCAACTCCCAATAAATGTCCCTTTTCCCTAGCGAAATTATAAGCTGTCTAGAGTCCAAGTATGTTGCAATTAGCAACTCTCAATGCCTGTCTGAGGTTTGAAAGTAAATCTGAGGTTGCAGCTGAGAGCAGTGCATCAATGACTTTAGCCAGGTGAGCGATGTCAGGCTTAATTCAAGCCTATGGAGACTCTGAACCCTTTTAATACTCAACTGGAATTCCTTAGAGCCTTGAAGTATGGGCACCAAGACCACAGAATTTTGTTAGTTATAAGAGACAAACTTTCTGTCCACGTTGTAGAGACTGTGGCATGTCAGGACCATGACATCCGAACCCCACATTGCCTTGTACCTGCCCAAAGCACACAGGAGAAAGGGCCCCTGAAATAGCACCATGGGCTTGCCCAGCAAGTTATTCCTCAGAGACAGCTTTATTTATTTTGCCTCTCTTTACCAAACCTGTTCAGGCAAAACACTGGAAATAGTGCCTGGCACACTGTTCAGTACTATTGGGAAGGTGAGAACTGGGGTAGGAAATTGAGGCAAGAAGCAGAGAAGCCACTTAGCCATTAACTTAGCCTGGCCAAGGTGGTCTGTTTTCTGCAGAGCACTTTTATCCTGATAGGGGCAAAAAGGGTCAGAAGCCTGGGCCTCTGTCATCTCGGCCCAGTCCTCTAACTTCTAGGGGAACTGACTACTTCATTTGTAAAAGGAATGAACTGCCTGAATCTGTACAAGTTCCAATATTCTATTTTTCCCTAAGTCATTCAAGTTATTATAAATTTCCTCTTGAAAAATAATCTTAGAAAGTAACGTTCTTCAGGGCAGTTCTTTCAGGCGCAGGAAGCTATTCTTGTCATAAAGATAATTAGTTTTGCAAGCTGCCGGTTTTGCAGCTCTGAAGGAGGCACTCTGGTCCTGGAAAGGCCCTGTTCTGATGACACCAAAGCTTGTCTGGGAGCTGAGTCATTCTTCTCCCAGCAACTTTTCCTTGCTTCTATCAGAATGCAAACTGCCAGTCACACCACCTACAGGTGGCATCCCAAATCTGAAGCCCTGGAGACCGGTGGTAACAAATTCCGAAAGTTCTGTGACTGTAGCATTGAGGATACAGCCATGAAGATTAAGAACGTTGTCAACTAGGATCGCAAGCGGCTTAGTTTCTCAGTGGGCTAGAGCTAAAGAAACTCTCAAGCCCACTACTTCAGACCACCCCCAGCGCTGCGGAGCCCTTGTTTCCCCCCATTTCTCTCCCGGCCTGACTAAGGGAGGCTTTTCCCAGGCCGAATACCGTCCAGGAGCAAACCTAGACCAGCAGATCTGGTCTCCACCCCCGCGCCCGCGCCCCCCAAGCTTGTTTGGGGGGATCGCCGTCATTACCATTACATCTAACCCGAGTGCAGTGACTACAGGAAAACGAGGAGCGTTCGCCAAGACCGAAGTGGAAAATCAGAACCACGGGGCTGCCGGCAAGCCTATCGCGCCCCAGGCTGCGCCGCCGTCTCGTCTGAGCAAAAGCAAAGCAAGCAAACGCAACCCTCGACCCTTCCTGAAGCCGACCTGGAAAGGGAAAAGCAGGAATGTGTCTAAAACTTTCTCAGCCACAGACAGGACCAGGGCCCAGTGAGAGGGAGAGGAGAGAAAGAGTCGGGGTTAACTCACTGCTGCTCCAGATCATCAGCCATAGTAAACAAGCCCTGCCGGGTCGAGCTGAGCCAGCCCATCCCTCCGCCTGACGCCAGAACCAGCTGACCCAGAAAAGGGTCGGATAACAAAGTGGGGCGTGGCTAGCGCGGCCGCCCAGCGGAGAGGTGGGGCGGGGCGCGGGGACGCCCTCAAGGGTGCGGGGCGCCGGCGGGGGTGGTGGGGGTGAGCCTGGGAGCAGCTGCTGACAAGTGTCCATTTGCCACCGGGATCTCACAGAACAGCTCAGCGATCGTGGTCCCGCAATTGTGGGACCCTGAGGGAGCAGTCCTGAAAACTGCCGACTCCCTCGCCAGAGTTCCCTCAGCCCTGCTGTCTCTCGCGTAATGAAAAGGGCGGGAGTACCCTGAGTCCAGACACACAGCCGTTGGGCTGGCTTCTCTGTCGTAACTCCCTGCCCGCTGGAGTTCTCCCCTTGGTGTTGCTTCTAATCAGATGCTTAAGATGTTTGAGGAGACCACCCCACTGGCTGAATGCTCCTACCAAGGACCTGGGGTGGGGGTTTGGACCCCAAGTAGACAGCCAGGCTTCGCAAATAAAAAGCAGGATACCTAATTAAGATTGAATTTCAGGTAAACAAAAATACTTTTAAAGAATTAGTATGTCTCCTGCAACATTCGATGCATCACTGGGCATCCTGTATTTTCTCTCGCAACACTAAACCCGTGTGACACATGCCAAGATGCAATTGCTCTGCCTTGGAGATTTCCCCACCGAGTTCCCAGGGAAGATGTGACAACCCCAGGCCTTTCCTCAGTTTGGAGGATCCCTGCCTCCACTCCTGTTAGGAAAAGCAGTTGAAGAACTAACCTTCTGACCCAAGGTAACATCTGCTTTAGGTAGCTGGAATGGATGGGGCCTGGGGGTTTATGGTCACTGGTTTAGCTCAGAGGTCCTGCACACACTTCTGATATGCTCAGTAGAGGAACCAAACCTTGAAGCTGGCTCCAGAATTTACCTAAACTGGTAAACAGCCTGACAGTCCCTGGTGCTGTCAGATTCCAGGTCATTCTCTTGGTTAGGGTAAAACCTGAAGGGTGGTAGAGGAAGAGGATAGGTGGGAAAATTGCTAGTGTAGAGGGGTTTGCCATATGTTTTTCTCCCAACTTCCTGCAGGACTCAGGGAGAAAATGTAAGACAAGATACACTATATATAATTATGAAAGAACATATCCTTCTTGTATCTCCAACATGTGTGATTTTTTAAAAAAGATTTATTTTGTTTATGCATACAAAAACTGGGGGTACAGGCCAGAGGTGCGGGGAGGGGGGGTGGGCGTGAGGATTCACCAGAGAGAGTGGGGAACAGAACAGGCAGACTGACTGAAACACACTGCCTAGGGAAGTAGTGAACGAGACAGGAGAGGTCTGCTGTGCTCCCTGGCTGGCCGGGGATCGAACTGGTGCTGCAGAGGCTGCGGGTTGCTTCATAGTGCTGTGCTTAACCCCTTGTGTCATCAGGGAGGCCCCCCAACATGTGTGATTTTATCTACAATTAAATATGAATATGATCTTTATGGATAGAAACTAATTTTGACAAACCCTTGTCCTGTGCCTGTAAATTATTAAATACTCCAAAAATGAGTAGAAGTGATAAACTGATAGTTTAGATCTGGCAGAGATAGATCATTGGTTTCAAATAAGTACCATTGCCTTTTGAATGAACTATGAACAAGCTGTGACCCTTTGGTTAAACCTAAAAACTGGGCGGAATAGCTCTAAAGTTGTTCTATACAACATGGTTATAACCACTAGCCACATCTGGCTACTTAGATTTAAATTAATAAAAATCAAATAAAAGTTGCTGAGTCATATTAGTTACACTGCATGTGTGCTTAGGAACCACAGGTGTCTAGCGGCTACCACACTCATCAGCCCAGAGTCATATTTGTCATCACAGAAAATTCTGCTAGACAATGTTGCTCAAGCACTGATGACCTCACCCCTCACCCCCAGTTCTTGTTGAGGTTGTTCTGCCTTTGGAAAGGACGATATGGTAGCTTCTCTCTTGGATGCCAGGTAGGGAGCCAGACTGAAGGGTTTTCTTAGTGGGACTCCCCAGAACTAGGAGGTAAGGACACCAGACAAAGGAGTCTGCAAAGTTATTCTGTTCTGAGTATTATTTTAGGTTGAAGAGATATGAACTCATTGAAGAAATTGGTGCTTTACTTGAATTTAGATCAGGAACTTAATACTTTGGAAACATGTCTTTGTGTTGTTGGCAATTTGTTTATGTAACAGGGGGGTCCCCAGGGAAAGGGGAGGTTCCAGGTTCCCCATCCCACTCAAGGGAGGATGGAGCTGAGCAGGGAGAGAAGAAGCTGAAGAGGAGAGTGGAGAAGGAAGGAGGAAGGATGGAGTGAGGAGACCTGGAGGAGGCACATGGAGCAGAGAAACACGTAAAGAAACTGTGCTTGCTTCTTGGTCCTGGACTGGGAGAAACAGATGTGGGTGAGAGACCCGTGGGGAGGTGACAATGGCAGCTTTTATCTTGATTTTGCTTCTTTGGTCTTAGATGTGCTGGGCCCCTTCTGCAGCTTGTCTATGAGTCCCCGCCGGAATGTGCCTTAGACTAGTGTCAGGCTTTTGGGCCTCAGTGGCCCTGCTTTGGGCCAACCCTGTTTGGCTGGACATTTACCCACGAGGGGATGGGGAACTTCTGGTGCTTGATTTGAAAGCTATATTTCTTTCCCTTCTCTTTGTTGCACACTAATTGTGTTGCTTCTCGGCCTTTTGGCTAAGATCAAGTGTTGCTTACTAATTGTATTAAAGTTCCTTTCCATTAAAGGTCTTGCACACTAGAGTGTGTTTTGTCTTGATGTGGTGGATGGCAGAACCAATTTAGAGTGGGCAGGTTTGGGGGTTCTGGGGTGCGCCTCACCCTGTCCTGTAACAATTTTTCTATTGAAAATCATAACCTACTTAATGTTTTCTCGGGAAATAAGGTAAAAGAAAAAAATGATTTTTTTTCTGTACTCTAGTACTTCTTATACCAAATGTGTAGTTTTTCTACCTCAGCAATTTTTCAGTTCTTGGCGAGACCCACTGGGTATCCTACAGTTTAACTCAGCTCTCACTCTAAGAGCCCTGGACTAGCGCGAAACCTACAGGGCAAGTCCATAAAACTGTCCTCTCCCTACACTTCAGATGTCCATCGCTCCATCTGGTCACCTGTGTTTCTGACCTCCTGACTATACATTGGAAGTTCCCGTGATACCCTCCTCAGGCTTGATAATTTGCTAGAGTGGCTCACAGAACCCAGGAAAACATTTACTTACTAGATTACTGGTTTATTATGAGGCTGCAACCAGGAACAGCCAGTGAAAGAGATGCACAGGGTGAGATATGGGGGAAGGGCTACAGAGCTTTCCTGCTCTCTCTGGGTAGGCCAGCCTTCCAGGAACCCATAAACTCTCCAAATCCCAGGTCCTTCCGGTTAGAGTTCTAAAAATAGAGGCTTTAACAATTGGTGGTGGAACTCAATCTCCAGCTCCTCTCTTCCCTGGAGGTGGGGAGGGTTGTTGACCTGAAAGTTCCAATCCTCTAAGAAAGTGGTTGGTTCCCCTGGTAACCAGAGTTCCTCCTTTAGGGGCTTTCTCAAAGTCACTTAATTAACATAAATTTACCCACGGCTGAAAGGGGCTTATTATGAATAACAAAAGATGCTCCTTTCATCTTGATTGCTCTGGAGCTATTTAAGAAAATGGGGACAAAATCAAATCTGATAATGAAAAAGCTCCTAATGCTTTTCTCTTATCGTTATAAAACCACAAAGGTTTTAGGACTATGTGCCAGAAACCAGGGGTGAAGACCAAATATAAATTTCTTATTTTATCGCAATATCATACAAAGAAATGGGGTTTTGGTCACAGAGGGGACAAAGTTTAAAAGGTGGAGCTGTTACAAGGTATAATGGAGAGAAGCAAAAGCTGGGATCTGAAGGAGAAAGTGAAAATAGAGCAGGTCCTTGAATAACAAGGGCATTTCCTTAGAACATTTACAGGAAAGAAAAATCCCAGCCAGTCTTGACCTTATTCAAGGATATGTTGTTATGCTTAGTCCACCAATAAAATGATCTACATTTTTTTCTATGTTGAAACAGTGTCTACCACCACCTTGCCACCTAAAGAGGTTGGAGTCAGTAGAACAATGATTCTTGTTCACTGTGAAGAACCCTGAGGTGAGAAGCAAAAACAATCTCAAAGAGCCTACCGAAGGATCAAGTTTGCAAGCTGCAGGAAGAAGGCATGAGATAACAGACTGGCTGCACTGTACATTTAGGATAAGAGATTCAAATAACTTTTTATCCTTACATCTTCCCAAACACAGATAGCACTGGCAAAATTAACTGTAAGATCAAGGGTTTTTTTTGAAGTTATAAACAGTGCTTTTCCTTTGTCAGTTAAACAAGTCTGTTAGTAACCAACCTTTATTTAACTGAAAATATTATAATTAGTTATCTTCTTTCTTTTTGCTAAATTTTCCCCCCTGTATTCTTTCTGTATATGTAATTTACCTATATAAACCCAGGCCAAACGTCTCCAAAGAAGGCGTGAAATCTGCTATTGGTTTCTCAAGCCCAGGTCCTCATTTTGGCTCTTGAATAAATTTTTCATTTACCAAACTTTTAATTCACTTCACAGTGGTGATTATTTCAGTAGACAGCTTAAATTCAGTTTCCAAGATCCTACTAGACATCCCCTGAGGATTTACTCTGTAAAGGAAAAGAATTAGAAAAGAGACTCTTCTTATCTATGCAGATATTTTCCTTAGTTGGAGTCCTTTTCTTTGAAGGATTGTATTTCTCTTGAAAGAATGTGATTTTTCACTATATGATATGCACATCAAAGACATCTTTACAGACACATCACCCAAAGCAGTGTTAGTGAAGGCAAAGATCAACAGCTGGGACTACATCAAATTAAAGAGCTTCTGCACAGTAAAAGAGACAATAGCAAAAACAAAGAGAAACCCCACTGACCGGGAGAACATTTTTGCACACAACACTAATGATAAAGGATGGATCACAAAAATCTACAAAGAGCTGATGAGACTCAACAAAAACAAAGAAAATAATCCAGTCAAAAAATGGGCAGAAGGGCCTCCCCAGTGGCGCAGCGGTTGAGCGCTGGGTTGCGAAGCTGCCAGCAGCTTCTGCAGTGCCGGTTCGATCCCCGGCTGCTCCCCGGCCACCGGAGGAGGGTCCCACATGGTGCGCAGACCTCTCCTGCCGCGCCCACTGCTCCCCTCAGCAGTGTACTTCGGTCCTTCTGCCTGCTCTGCTCCCCACTCTGGCTCTGGTGAATTCTCTCACCCTCCCGCGCTTCTGTCTGTACCCAGTGCTTGTATAAATAAATAAATAAATCTTTAAAAAAAAAAAAAAAAAAAAGACCCATTCCCTAAAAAAAAAAAAAAAAAAAAAAATGGGCAGAAGAGCTAAAAAGAAATTTCTCTGAAGAGGAAATGCAAATAGCCAACAGGCATATGAAAAAAGGTTCAACATCACTTGTCATCAGGGAAATGCAAATCAAAACTACAATGAGATACCATCTTACACCAGTGAGAATGGCACATATTAAAAAAACTAGCAACAACAAATGTTGGTGAGGTTGTGGAGAAAAAGGAACTCTCCTGCACTGCTGGTGGGAGTGCAAACTTGTCCAACCACTATGGAGAGCTGTGTGGAGATTTCTGGACCTACTAAACATAGAGCTTCCATATGATCCAGCAATTCCACTCCTAGGTATTTACCCAAAGGACACAGAAACATCCATTCCAAAGAGCACCTGCACCCCTATGTTTATAACAGCACTATTTACAATAGCTAAGCTTTGGAAACAACCCAAATGCCCAAAAATAGATGACTGGATCAAGAAGATGTGGTACATATATACCATGAAATATTACTCAGCATTCAAAAAAGATAAACACATGCAATTTGCAGCAACATGGATGGCGCTGGAAGGGATCATGCTCAGCGAAATAAGCCAGAAAGAAAAAGAAAAATACCAGATGGTCTCATTCATAGGAGGAATCTAGAAAACTTAAATAAGGGACCAGGAAAAAGAATAACTATAAGAAAGAAAAAATCAAAATCAACAAACAACTATGAACCAGAGACACTCTATGGAGTGTGGGGGGCGGGGAAAGGAGTGCTTGGGGTCAAAATAAGGGGGTTGTAATTGTATGGGGAATATAAAAATAAAATTTAAATAAAAAATAGTTTTTGATATTTATTTGATTTAAAAAAAGAAAAAAGAAAGAAGAAAGAATGTGATTTCTTACTGGAGAGAGATACAATGGGAAATTATGACCTTTGCTTTCAAGAGTATCTTCTTGCTCTCCCCACTTCCATTGTTTTATGTTGTGGATTATTGAAAGGTAGTAGAATATGCCAACCCCACAAATCACTCTGTGGCACAAGGATCATTTTGAGGTGAAGGCAACTGAGAAGTAGACATGAGAAAAACTCCCTGCTTTCCTCCTGAAAGCCTTCTACCGAAATGCATGACACAGTTTGTAAAGGTGTTCCCCACCTGTCTCCTTTCTAACAGGAAAGACAGATGTTAATTACCCAGACAACTCTAAATCTTTGTTAGACTAGAGAGGGCAGTGGAGAAATTTGCATAGCAAACTTTACTAACTATATTACCTTTCCATAAATGTGCTACCCTAGAACTCAAAGTTCTTTTCCTTGGTCTTGTCATTTCTCTAAAAATTTATTGCTTTTTATTGATATTTATAAGCCCAAATTATAACCACTCTGACTTACTTGTCACTGAGTACTCCTGTGTGTGAGACGCATATGTTAAGATGCATATCCTATCAGCCTAAGATGGGTAGAGGGACAACAATTTTTTCCTCTCCAAACACTCAGCTTTTACTTTAACATTCCATTTGCCCTTTGCAGTCCCTCCAAATGCCATCTTTTTGCATGCTTGAAAAATTGGGATTTTGTAAAAAAAAAAAAGGGATTTTGTGGTCTGGCTAACTTTTAATTTGCAGACAAAAAGAATAATCAGGTAGTTAATTATTGATATATGGATTACTGATAATTGATAAATTATTGTTAATTATAAGGGCAGGGCTGTTGATAATTAATTAGAACAAAAATTTACTGTCTTTAATATGTGTCATGTACTAAGCTATGTGCTTAATGCTTAACATTATCTCGTTCAATACTCACAACATCCCAGTGAACCAGATATTGTAACTTCTACTTTAGAGGAGAGGAAAATGAGAATGTCAAATAAACTAAATTGCTATTGATCAGACAATTGGTAAACAGCAGAATCAAAGTTCAAGTCCAGGATTGTCTGACTTTAGAGCCTCCTCTCTTATCTTCTAGTCTGGACATGGATTTTCACATGTCTTTCTATTCTGATTTAAACTATCAAAACAAAGAATATGGTTAGCAACATCCTATTTTTGACAGTTACTGTCCTAATGATATAGAATCATAAACTGAACAGAAAATAGGACCCCCCCTTTTTTTTTTTTGCTGTTTTAAGTAATCTAGAAAACCTTTAATTCATTATATTTGTATTTGGTTTTGCAGGTGTTGGGAGGGAAATTTCTCCCCATCTTTCTGGTTTCTTTATGGGCTGTTTGAGTAATCAAAATAGCATCAGGCAGATTAGCAGGAGAAAAAAAATCAATTTAACTACGTATGTATGGGAATCTATGTAGAAATAAGGATTCCAAAGACAATGAGGCAAAATGGGGAGATATATCCTGAGCTAAGGAATGGGTTAGGGGCCTGGGGCTTCAAGGAGCTGTGACTGAGCGCTCACATGATTTGCAGAGGGTGACTCATGTGATGACCAGATGCTCTGTAATTAGATCTGCCATATAGAGAGGTTCTTCAGATGGAAAAGTTATTTCTGGTTATAACCCTAACTAACACTGAGTAAAATCTCCAATTTTCTTATTTTTTTTTTAGGTAGTTAAGGGAGTCATAAAAGTTTCTCATGAGACTGCAGGACCTGGATTGACCTCAACTCGAAATAATCTGCAGTCCAAAGTGGTACATGCTGAGGGAGGCCTGTTTTGAACATCTGGGGTTCGGCCTACCCTTCTGCAGGTCTCAGAAAAGGATGCAGTCATAAGTGAATATGATGCTTTTCATCTCTTCTGCTTTTCCCCTTCGGGAATTCCTGTGGAGATGCTAATGATGATAGTTGACATGGATCAAAGGCAGACAAAACACAAGGAAGAAATTGCTAGAAGGAGCCTAGCTGATGGAATAGAAACCCCTTGAGGAATCCACCCCTGAATGATTTAAAAGCACCAGCCTAGCCTTTAAAGTTTGAAGTTGAATTTTGGCAAGGAAGCTACCCTCCTACTTGCTAATGAGCAAGGAGAAAGGTTCAACTTGTCAGACAAAATGATGCTTTCGGCTATATTATCCTAAATAGGAACCAAGTTGGTTATCCACTCTTCGTTTTTTAGCAACAGAAGACAGTTTAGGCTGCATTTAAGTTCATTTAGAATATATATCTCTGTGGGTGTGGCTGAATATTTCTCTTTAAGCAGATTGTAAAGCTGAGGACACTGCTTTTTTCTCTTCTTCCTAGAACCTAAGCAAGATTTCGTGCACCATTAATAATAAGTACATTTGTTGATGCTGCTATAAGTTCCAGTATAAACACAAATAAAAAGTGAAAGTAAAGAAATATTGTCATTCACTTGCTGTTTTAGGAATTTTGCTTGTGTAGTAGTATAGTTCAAAGTTATGAATAAGCTGAAAAAGTACATCGTTATGTGTGACTTACAACTGAAAGGTGAGATGAAAGATGTCTGGAAGTTCAGATTCAAGTGAAATTAAAAATGTAGAGAAAGCCAGAAATTAAGGTGGATATTTGAGAAAAAAATAAAAAAAGCTAAAAAGAGTTAATTCCACTTGTTAAAATGACAAAAACCTAAATCTTAAGTTTCCTTTGTAAAATGAGTTGGAGGTGGTAGGGGCTGAACGAGGCATGCTCTTGCAGGTTTCTCAGCTGTGACATCTTGAGATATCACACCGGGTTTATTCAGGATGCCAGCATAGGAATAGAAGGCTAAACTTGATCATGTATTCTATGCACATTAATCAACTAATCAACTGTTTTCTCTTCACTACCCCTGTTAAATTACAAGATCCAACTGAGTTAATTTTATTTATTTATTTATTTATTTATTTATTTAAATTTTTTTTTTTAATAGAGGCATGTTTTATTTATTTATTTATTTGTTTGTTTGTTTATACATGCACTGGGTACAGTCAGAAGCGCGGGAGGGTGAGAGAATTCACCAGAGCCAGAGCGGGAGCAGAGCAGGCAGAAGGACCGAAGTACACTGCTGAGAGGAGCAGCGGACGGCAGGAGAGGTCTGCGCACCATGTGGGACCCTCCTCTGGTGGCCGGGGAGCAGCCGGGGATCGAACAGGCGGCGCAGAGGCCGCGGGCAGCTTCGCAACCCAGCGCTCAACCGCTGCGCCACCAGGGAGGCCCCAACTGAGTTAATTTTAAAGATCTAATTGGCTTTATTATACGATTCATGAATCAGGCAGCAGCATCCCATTTAGCAAGAAGACACTACCAATAGCTGTACAAAATGAAATGTACAAAATGAAACGGTTTATCTATTTTCCTTTGGGGAATAGAAAAGAGTACTCATTGGTCCTGACCAGAAAATTCCCTATTGATCAGTCAGGACCACCTTCCTGGGGAAGGTTGAAACTTTAGGGGGCTTGAAAATAGCAGTTAGGTT